TCCCACAGAGCTTGAGTTTTGTTTACATCGTTGTATCAATGATTCCTCTGTCAAAATCCACTTATTGATTCTCATCAAAAGAACAATAAGTCTCCAAAATCATTCAAATCATGATCAATTTACTAACTCTCCCTAACAGAGTAGTAAATATTCAATTTATCGGCTCTCCTTAATAGAGTGATAAAATTCTTAAAATCTTGTTCAAATCACAAGTATCACAATTCATCGCTCCAATGATGAAACACTTAGCAGTCTTCCTCAGAGAGGCGCTACGATACCCTTTCCCCACAGATGTCACGTTAACACTACACCTCTGATAAAAATCCACTTATCGACTCTCTTCAATAGAGCGATAAGTCCTCAAAATTGCTTCCATAGCAATATTCTTCTTGTCACGTTAACACTACACCTCTGACAAAAATCCACTTATCGACTCTCCTCAATAGAGCGATAAGTCCTCAAAATTGCTTCCATAGCAATATTCTTCTTGTCACGTTAACACTACACCTCTGACAAAAATCCACTTATCGACTCTCTTCAATAGAGCGATAAGTCCTCAAAATTGCTTCCATAGCAATATTCTTCTTGTCACGTTAACACTACACCTCTGACAAAAATCCACTTATCGACTCTCTTCAATAGAGCGATAAGTCCTCAAAATTGCTTCCATAGCAATATTCTTCTTGTCACGTTAACACTACACCTCTGACAAAAATCCACTTATCGACTCTCTTCAATAGAGCGATAAGTCCTCAAAATTGCTTCCATAGCAATATTCTTCTTGTCACGTTAACACTACACCTCTGACAAAAATCCACTTATCGACTCTCTTCAATAGAGCGATAAGTCCTCAAAATTGCTTCCATAGCAATATTCTTCTTGTCACGTTAACACTACACCTCTGACAAAAATCCACTTATCGACTCTCTTCAATAGAGCGAATCCTGTCACGTTAATATCACACCTCTGACAACCAATCCACTTATCGACTCTCTCCAATAGAGCGATAAGTCCTCAAAATTGCTTTTATAGCAATATTCTTCTTGTCACGTTAACACTACACCTCTGACAACCCACTTATCAATCCTCGTCAATAGGATGATAAGTCCTCAAAGTTGCTCCGATCGCAACAAATTCCCGTCATGTTAACACCAAACCTCTGACAATCCACTTATCAATCCTTTTCAATAGGATAATAAGTCCTCAAAGTTGCTCCGATTGTAACATTCGCTTGTCACGTTAATATCAAACACCTCTGATAAAATCAACTTATCGACTCTCTCCAATAGAGCGATAGGTCCTCAAAGTTGCTCCGATCGCAACACTTTCCACTTATCGACTCTCGTCAATAGAGCGATAAGTCCTCAAAGTTGCTCCGATCGCAACACTTTTCACTTATCGACTCTCGTCAACAGAGTGATAGGTCCTCAAAGTTGCTCCGATCGTAACACTTTTCACTTATCGACTCTCGTCAACAGAGCGATAAGTCCATAAAAATACTGTTAAGTTAACATCATACCTCTAACAGTCAAACCCCCTAGTGAACTTGTTAATCATTTTCCAACAAGAATAGCAAGTTTTTATTATCTAGTGAACTTGTTAATCATTTTCCAACAAGAATAGCAAGTTTTTATTATAAAATCCCCAGCGGATTAATTATTTTCTGGAATTATCCTAGTGATAATAAAGAAAATTTCTGAATTTCACTCTAAGTGAAAATTCATGCCAAGTTAATATTACACCTCTGGCGTTTCTAACTTTCTTTCAGTGTTTCAAGTAACACAGGAAGAAATAACGACAAAGTCCACGTATTCAACATCGTGGCAGGTTGTTATTAATAACACCGAAATCCATGTCTTACACATATGTGGGACTTTATCTCGATCCCTAATTAGAGATAAGTCTACGCCTAACACACGTTGCCGGTTAGTCTTTTACCGTGAAAAGGACATCAAAATCCATACCTCACACGCATGGGGGACTTTATCTCGATCCCTAATTAGAGATAAGCCTACGCCTAACACGCGTTGTTGGTTAGTCTTTTCCCGTGAAAATGACAAAGTCTATGTATTCAAAATCATAGCATTAAGTCTAAGATGGTTCATTCTCTTAGCACAACGTTACATGTGGAACGGACTTAGACAATCCACATGCTAGCCCGACTCAAATGATAGTCGGTAAAGGCTTATCAAATCCGTTGATGGCTGAGGGTTTGCCAAAAATCCTATGCACGTTTGTAGGCCCATCAGCTTAATGGATGTGAGCCGAGACTTAAAACAGATGAGCCAAAGACAAGTCTCAAAGGCTTAGTCAAAAATGCACGGAAGTCACTTCCATATCTTAAGTCAAAACGTTGAGGTCACACCCGTGTTCCAAATTCAACATGCAAGGGTAAGACCCGCATCTCAAGTTCAAAATGCAGGGTCCACCCCCACATTCCAGAAAAAGGATTATGGCGCATACCTTCACACAGGTCCTACGTAGCAAATCCTTTCAACCAAGATGCCTTCGAAGCAAATGCAGAGAACAAATCATTTACCATAAGGAATCAACAGCTCCAAGATCAGAGTTGAGATCCAAAGTATTCCGAAAATTTGTCCCAGTCAACCGCGAGCTTTCGAAAACTTTGGAGGGGGTTCTGTAGGCTGTCAAAAAATCACAATAGATAGCTGATCCCCATCAAAACACCGATGATAGAAGTTATAATCTGACGACTTTTAGAAGGTTACAATTTGAAGACTTTCACGTAGACTGATGAAGGTTACAATCTGACGACTTTCACAACAACTGATGAAAGTTCTAATTCAACAGCCTTCACAATCAACATCGAGAGTTACAAATTAATGACTCTCATATTATCAAGAGCTAAAGGTAAGGATTACAATCTGACGATCCTCACAAAAGTTCAAAAAAAAAAAAAAAATTATAATTGACAATCTCTTCAACGCGAAGGTCGCGTTTGACCATTTCAAATCATTGAAACGGTCCTCCACTTAATAGGGCAACTAACCTCCATTATAGAGCTAATTAAGGGGGGTAGTTATACCCATTAAACTCCTACAAATAGGTAGTTTTCACAGAAAAATAGAGCTGGTGGTAGAGGGCTAGACGAAATTAAAAGAAAGGGAGAACAAGAGAGGAGAAGAAAGGTCAGATTTGCGCAGTTGTGATCGGCGTGACGATCAGACCCTCATCCGTGGTCCAATCGATGTGAAATTTGGAGAGTAGCTTCTACACTCGTCTTTCCTAATTCTGAACGGTGGAGATTGCTTTCTATCGGTTAGATTTGGAGATATGAAGGTTTTACCGAAGCTGGTCGTTCCAGGAGTGCAGAGAAAAGTCAGATTTGCGCAGTTGTGATCGGCGTGACGATCGGACCCTCATCCGTTGTCCGATCGATGTGAAATTTGTAGAGTGGCTACTACACTTATTGTTCCTAATTATGAACAGTGGAAATTTCTTTCTATCGGTTAGATTTGTAGATATAGAGGTTTTACCGAACCTATAAAGGACTGGCGGTGCTTTTTTGAGATCGGCCGAAGAGAGAAAGAGATCAGCTACTCTTTTGAAATGATTGAACTTGCTTTGTTATCATCAACTCTTTTTAGAGTTTCCCTAACTCGATCAGAGTTTTAAAACTTGTTTAGCAAGTTCTTCTGATCAACAATTGATCAGTCATTCTTGGCTAAAAGGATTTTTAATCCCTTCTGAAATTAACTCTTTCAAAAGAGTTTCTTAACTCGGCTAGAGTTTCAAACTTATTCAAACAAGTTCTCTTCAATATCCTACAGGACTGGAATTTTTGGGAGAGATCAAACCACCAAAGGTTGATCGGTTTCTAACAGTAAAACCGCATAAGATTAAGGTGAGCTGGCATCAAAACCGCCTAAGGTCAACAAATCTCAACAGTTCAACAACACGAAGGAGGAGATCTTTTGAAGATCAAGGAACTGATCAACGATCAGTTAATCAAATCCCAAAGGATCCTTTCATCAAGGGCATCATTAACTTGGCAATTAACCGAATCTTCGGTTCCAACAACTTTTTTACAGAGTTTCAACTCGCTCTGAGTTTTGAAACTCATTTAAGAGTTCGTGATTAAGTTTGTAACCCAAATTAATCACATCAAACCAGATATTCGGTTTTCAACAACTCTTGTCAGAGTTTTCAACTCGTTATGAGTTCTTTGCACTCATCAAGAGTTCTAAACCGAAGTCATCAAGCAATTCAATCGGTTTCGTGAGATAGAACGGTCGGATCGTCAACGGAGAGCAAGTTCAATACAAGCATTCGAAGGAGGCACTCCACCGCTACCAAGAAGAACCCAGTTTTAAACAAAGGGGAGAATCAAATTCATTTTCTTTTCTTTTGTAATCGGAATCCAAATTGTAATTGATTTTGAGAGGAATACAAGTCAAATTTTCTTTCATTGTCTTTTTACTGCAAATTTCCAACAAACACAGACATATCAAATTTCAGTTCCATCATGGTGGTTGATCGAAGAGTTAATTTTAATAAAATTGCTTTATCACCTGAGGAGATCGTGCAAATGATAGCCTTCTCAGCCATTAATGAAGGGAAGGTAGGAGTCATAGAGAGAATTTTAGGACAAGAGGGGTAATGATAATTGAAGAGCAAAAATTCTAACAATAAAATAAAGAGTTATTGCTCATGATAGAGAAAAATGAGGAAAAATTTTTCTTCAATTTCATCATCAGATCGCCATTAATGGGATCTGACATTCACAAATATTGTGACCTGATGGGAGCGCGACATCTTGGGGAAGAAGAATGACATTTTAGGGTTTACATAGAAATACAGTAGCTTAGCGCTATACGGCTGATGTGGAGCAGCCCGAATACATTAACTAAGCTTTTTTTGGGTCTAATCAACAATGGGAAAAGATTGAAGGGCTCAGTCGCATGAGGTTCTCCATACTGGGGCCTTGACACAAGTTTCCCTTTCTTTAATAGGTATTATAGATGCAGATTTTAGCTTTGTTAACACGTACCAAACTCTCCTGGTCAATTCCCAAATCAGAATAGAGAGGGGGGGGCCTCAAAATTCTTTTCTTTTGCAAACGATTAAACCCTAATTCCTCTCAGTTCTTCAACCTCTCTCAAACCCTAAACCCTAATCTCCACGCCCATCGACTTCGCTCATCTCAATCCGTCTTCTTCTTCTTCTTCCATGGACGAATCATCTCAGAAGAGGAGAGAGAGGCTCCAAGCCATGAGAGCCGACGCCTCAAACCAATCCCAGCCTCTCTCATCCTCCTCCTCTTCTTCTCCAACTCAAGGCCTTTCGAATCCTCTAGTCAACTCCGATGCCAACGAGAGAACGCCTAAAGCTCCAAGATTCCATTACTACACCGACCCAATGGCCGCCTTCTCCGGTTCCAAGGCGAGTAATCACCCCGAGAGCTTCTCTGCTCCAATTCGAGGCCGTTCGCCTCTTTCCCATCCCTCGAATCGACCAAACGGTAACTCTCTTGCTTCTTTACGGGTAGAAATTTTGAATTTTGAGCATGATTTTGCAATTCTTTAATCCCCTGCAGTGGTTGGCAGCAGCGGCTTTTATCGCGCTCCTGAGAGCTTCTCCTCTCCGATTCGAAGCCCTTCGCCTCACTCGTATGCATTGAATCGACCCATTGGTAATTTTCTTATTTCTTTATAGAAATTTGGAATTTTGACACAGCTAATATTTGGGATTGAAATTGTTTTTTTAATGTGAATTTTGTATTCAGTAAAAAAAAATTGGAGCTTTGGGCCAAATTGACACCTTTATGCTAATGGTGATTTGAAATATGAAACTTGCAATGGAATTTTCTCCCATTTTCATTTTTTCCGTTCTTCTTTTTCTAAAGGACATAATTAACATGCAAATTTGAAAATTTGACATTGAATGGCGTTAATATTGGCTGTGAGTTTTCTTGCTAGTTCTAGCGAATGATATTCCGTCAGATATATCTAGTTTGATTGAATTATTCTCAAAAGCTTCATATGTTTGGACTTTGGACGCACTTTGGCCTTCACTTTAAGGCTTTGAAGACGTTAGCATATTACCTGTTTCTTCTTATATTAATGCTTATTTTTCTAGAGTTTTAATAAATTATTAGTAATCATTTATTATTATTTTTGTATTTTATGAATTTATTATTTTTTAAAGCTTTTGGAAAGTGCTGCAATTTGAATTTTGATCATAGTTTTATGATATCTTAATTCTCCTACAGCGGTTGACAACTATTATCGCTCTCCTCAGAGCTTCTCCTCTCTGATTCGAACCCCTTCACTTCTTTTGTATGCAAATGGTATTATTTTGCTTCTATTAGTTCTTTCCTTGGAATTTTGAATAATATTATTATATTTGTTGTTTTTACCTGCTTTGACATCTGCAAGCATTATTTTTTTAGCATGATTTCTTCATTATAAAGGGTTTGTTTCTTATGTTTGAAGGATTGATATTTTTCTATGTGAATTTTCTTTTTGGAAAAAAGGTGAGCTTTGGGCTAAAATTTAACACCTTTATGTTAATGCTGAATTTTGCAAATTGCCTTTTTTATTTCCTTTCCAATATGAAGTGATGTGCATCTGTAGGACAGAATTTACACGCAAATATGAAATTTTGTGATGAATTGTCATATTTTTGGCTGTTAGTTGAGTTGCTAGTTCTAGTTCTTGACATTTCTATGATATAATCTAGTTCACTAGCATTTTTCTTTTGTAAGATGCATTGCTAACCCATGATTTAACTCCAGGATCCAATGCATGTTAGCCTAGGTTGCATAGGTACGGGTATTGTTATGGGTACAGATATTGGTACGGGACAAAATATTTGTAAAAGGGCGGGTACAATGACACAACTGTATATATGTGTGTTATGTACATTTATATGTATTAAAATTAATAATTTACATAAGATCAATATTAAAGTAAATAATTTACATAAGATCAATATTAAAGTTAATAATTTACATAAGATCAATATTGTTTTTTCATTTACATAAGATCAATATATAAGAAACATATGAGAAGTGTAGAATATACATCGAAAAAGTGTACGAGGAGTGTTTTAAATTAAAATATTTATTATATAATTGAGTATACGTTCGAACAAATATATGCGTGTACTCAAGAAGCGTCCAACAAATATATGCGTGAACAAATATATACGTTCGAAAAAGTGTACGTTGTTACATTTCATCTAATTTTTTAGAGCAAAATGTCATTTGATATAATGGGAAAATCATGATATCTCACGCAACAATTACCAAATGTGGTATATTATTTTGCGACAAGCCATATAAAAGGATATATCGGCAAACATATCAGCTGATATATCAGCCATATCAGGGATATATCGCTGAAAATAGCCAAAAAGCGGTAAAGTATATTTGGGAACCATATCGGTTGCCACAAGCCTTGTAAAAGGATATATTGAGCGATATATTGGGCCAAGTCAGGGATATTTAAAAGAATGGTTGGGAGCACTAAAACAAGATATATTGATCGTAGATTATATAAAGGAGGTTGCACTTCAGTACTTAGCAAATTTGAATGAGAAAAGGCATTATTATAGTTTAAACAACACATTGGAAGAAGCCTTTATTACCTTTCTGGCATTTTATCTTTTGTCGTGTTAATCAAATACTACATGGATTAACATTGCATGTCAGTTTGTGACAGAAGTCCTTGTCACTTTGTGCTTTGATTTCATCAAGAGCATGATTTAGTATTATGTTCAAGTAGTGGTGCAAGTCATCTAGCTATTTTATTTTATTTTATTTTATCTGCTATTATCTTTGTGGAAAAATTCTAACGTGCTCGTTGTACAAAAATTTTCACACAGGTTTGTTGTTTTCTTGTGTCCTGCATAAATTTTGTTGGTAGGAGGTAAAATAGGCTAATATGGGATTGTTGCTGCTTGAGTTTCCTTCTTATAAGGTTCCTATCCGCCTTGTTGCATGTTTACTTAAATTTCCTACAGTATGTAACTTCCATAGCTACTTGTACAGACAGGATACTAGCATTTTCATATAAAAGATATACTGATACTGAGTATAACATGTTGAAATAAGTTATTGATCAAGTTGAATACTTGAAGGGGAGCCTTGGTGTAACGGTAACAGTTGTCGCCATGTGACCTGGAGGTTGGAGGCCACGGGTTCGAGTTGTGGAAACAGCCTCTTGTATAATTGCAAGGCAAGGTTACATATAATAGGCCCAAATTGGTCTGAACCATTCCTGGACCTGGTGGATATTGGGAGCTTTATGTAAGGAGGTTATCAAGTTGAGTATCTGTTGCATTAGTAAATGCATTATGTTTGCTATTCTGCATGTGCCTTTACTCTTCTCAAATGTAAGCCAATTCCTATGTGCTTTGGAGAGATTTTCCATGTCAGCCTTAGGCTTTCCCTTGAGCCAAATTAGTACTTTGGCTACTTGCTTCCAGAAGATGTGTAAAGGGTTAAAACTGTATTGTTCTGAAATTCTGAAAGAGCCTTGGAGGATGATAAATTTTCTTTGTCAAACACATTATCAATTCTTGCAATAGGGTTTATTCAGAATAAATTCTTGTAATATGACTCTTTCAGAACTTGGATTCATGACCTTTTAATGCTGATCTGGGGTCTAGAAGTTGTATGCAAAAAGAATATGGCTTGAAATAGGCAAAGGGAGAAACTATCATAGTGCCACCACAACATATGAATATAGAAACAAGAAACAATTTCTGATGGGTTGCATTATGCAAGTAGTGGAGTAGCCTTAGAAACACAAGAGCCTGACTGAGTTTGCCCAGATATAGCATGGACTAAGTGCTGATGTCGAGATCAAATTGAGTGTGCCCCAGATATAAGATGAACTTACTGGTCATGTCTGGAACTGCATTTGTTCTAGTACTTCTAAGCAAAAAGGTTAAAGAATATAGGATAATTGAGCTAGCATACTCCTTGTGCCATTTCTTTCCTTGCTCTCTCTATTTATATGACCTTTTTAAGGTCGTTCCTAACTCCTTCATTAAGGTTCCCATGTGTTGCATATGAACCTGTGTCAGTATCAGCCGAATCAATTTGGCCCGTGCTTCACTGTATCTGTTAGGATTTTCTCTTTGGATAAGAATTCAGTAGTATCTTGAATGAAAGAAGCGTTAAAAGTCATCTAGAGGCATAGTCATCCTGGGGCGTAGCTTTGGCCAGTACCATCTTAAAACTTTTTGAGCCATAGTATAAAAATTCCCAGAATTTTTAGCTTTGCTGTGATCATCAGTTGCCTCTATTCAAACTTACTAATTTGCAAGTTACACATATATTTAGTTGAATCTTCCTTCTTACCAACTTGCCAAACAATTTCTGCATTCCTTTATAAAATGGGCTATTTAGATATTACACCCTCAAATTTTCAATAATTCCATATTATTTCTTCAAATCTCAATAGTTGATCATTAGTCCCTCAAATGCTAGTGTTACTGCAATTTGCTCCCTCCATGACCAGAATACCTCGGCTAATGTTTTTTGATTGTTCATTTGCAATTTGGCACTCTAAAGTTTACACCTGTTTAAACGTTGATGCCCCCGAAGTTCTTTTGACACTTTGATATGCCAAATTTTACATATTTTTAACTTTGATACCCTAAAATTTTTTGACACTTTCATATCATAAAGTTAACATATTGATAGCCTCAAAGTTTTTTTTTACTTTGATATCCAAGATTTACATATTTTTTAACTTTGACACCCTAAACTTTTTGACATTTTAATACCGCAAAGTTTACACACTTTTTTAAATTTCATACTAAAAAGATGCCACATTTTCTAACTTCAATACCCTTAAGTTTTGGGGTATCAAATTGTCAAAAACAGAAGTTTGGGGTATTAAAGTGAAAAAAAGTATAAACTTCATTGTAACAAAAGTGCTAAAAAAATAATGTATCAAAGTTAAAAATGGTGTAAACTTTAGGGATCAAAGTGTCAAAAAACTTTGGTTATTAAAGTTAAAAAGGTGGAAACTTTAGAGCACTAAAGTGCAAATAACCTTCTTTTTGAAGAAGATGTGTTTTCAGATAGAAATCATAACTAAAGGTATTTTGGTCATTAAGGGACCAAATTGCAAGACTTCTTAGGATTTGAAGGACTAATGAGTAATTATTCAAGATTTGAGGCACTAATATGGAATTATTCAAGATTTGAGGGACAAATATCTAAATAACCCTTATTAAATTTGGTTCCAACAGTCTACATCTAGGACGTAGGGACAGTTGACTCCATGTCGCATGTCCAAGTAACAATCATGACTTGTTTATATAACAAATACGGGTGGAGATTTTTTTAGAATATGAAATAATTTTTACGAAGGTAATTTTAGAAGAAATTTAGTAAAACATGTAGATAAGGAAATTAATTTGTTTGGTAAAGTGGCTTTTGGCGTAATTTGATTGGCATAATTTGATTTGCTAATAGAATGAACCAACTATTGAGATAGATGTCAAACACAAATCATCGATCATCATGCTTAATTCATGTTTGCATCAACTAATCACTTCGATTCTTATGATCCCATTCACTATCATTTTGTGTTGAAGTACTGGATACTGGTACAATATTGTCGTGAAATGCAGCATTGGTTTATGTTTCACCTCTGTTAGTTTCACAATTAATTGACATTTAATTTTTTAGCCATATTCAAATAAATTTCGTCAAAATCACTTGAAGCTCATATAAACCTCGATTGATCTTTATAATCCACTATCTAGGAGCAATATAATGCTAAGCACGAGGGCACCCTTCATCGTTAGTTGGCAATTCTTGCCATTGCACTTTTCATTCTTCTTCTCCTTCTTTTGTTTCTTTGTTTTTATTTGATATTTTCTTGTCGCCTGTATTACAGGGGTTAGCTCTCACTTATTGTTGATTAAACTTCAAAGGCATGCTTTGTCAAGAGTGAGAAAAGAAAAAAGAAAAAGAAAAAACGACAATGACACACGTCCCTTATAATTTTTATATCTGATTTCATGTGTATCTTTTGATATGAACTTGGATTTTTCAGTTACAACTTGAGAGGGAACAAACTCTATTTACCATATTCTGTTCCAGGACAAGAATTCCTATGAATCGGAAAGAACTATATCTTGTGTATCATTCAATTTTTGTGATCTCAGGTGTGTAAGAAGTTTGTATACTCTGACAGCTTGATCAAGGCTAAAGAGCAGTCATTCTCTAATTAGATGAGGTGTTCAAGATTTGGCTTTAGGTAGTCTTGAGTTCTCTTGTGTATGCAACTCATTGGACCTCTGCATTCTTGTCAACCTCTCTTTTATCCCACTCTTCCTTATGTAAGGAGGTTTTTATGGTTATATTTTTCTTATAATATCTCTAGTATCACGGAACTCAGTGTGCTTTATGGCATGGAATGCTTGAACCTATGATTATCATTTCCTTGAACTTACAGTGCAATGCTTTTAGTTTTATAGTTCTCTTATCATCTGCAGCAGGTAGTGCCTAAGGGCATCAGGTGTTCCAGAAGCCTTATTTTTGTCACAGAAATGTGCCATTGAGCAAGTGTGAAGTCAGCTATTGTAATTCTTTACCAATTCTTGCTCCTCCCCTTTTTCTCTTTAGATCTAGCATGAATCTATTTTGACTTTACCCTCGTAGTATTATGTATGTATGCACACACATACATATGGGGTAGTGGATATGAGTTGGAAGCTCGTTAGGTAGAATGCTAGCTTCCAAGAGATAGAAGTGATGAGGTTCGTCCATTAGGAAATAACTAGTAATCTCTTAATCTCGTTTCAGATCATGGATTTGATCACTAGTAATCTCTTTTCAGATCATTTATGTACATTTGTG